TTTTTCGATTAACCGCAATAACCACCACCCGCAACATCTCGATCATTAGCTAATCACATTGATGAAGCTACTTGAGAGCACCCTAAGTAGCACATTCGGTGATGTACGTCTACAAACTCTCGTATTTTGTTTGTGAAGGAAGTACCCCAGAGATTTTCGCTGATCGACAGCTATTGACCAATTAGATTACAAGATAAGGTATAACGTGAAATCAAAACAAAAACTATCATTTTTTTAAAAAAAACATCGTAACTCAAAATTTCGTCTATGCAACCATCTTCTGTATCTTCTGCGCGTATAAGACAAGTATCGTTATAATTATAAACCTGACCCTAATGTAACGTCGATCAGTGAAATCTATCGATATCACATTGTACTGTACGTTGTACAAACTCCGTTCATGGTATTTATTTTTGATTCTAAGAGAATTATACAGATTTTAAAATATAGAAATCTAGAATCTCTGAATTTCTCCACTACCGTTATCACGAAAATAGTAGGGGTACACCTTTTTGCAAAACTGCTATAATAATGTAGGTTGAATTTTCATATAATCTTTTTTTGCATTTGTTTTTTTAATATTTCATTTACAAAAAAAATGAGCACATTTCTATTGAATCTAAAATAAGCGAATTAAAAAAAAAATTCTTCAATAAAACCAAATATCATAAGTCAAACAGCGAAATAATATATAGTTATCAGGTGGGCACTGCATGATAACAAATTAAACTACAGCCCTCTTTTATTTTCTAAAAGCTTAGCTAATATTAGAAAATTAATATATAAGCCAAATAAAGATTTATTTCATGAAATGGGAATTACCAGATGCACCTATTTATTTCCGGAATATGTTAATTATGAAATACCTCAATATTACAAATCCATTAAATGTTACTGATTTCATTAAAATAATTTGCGACTAATAAATACATCATTTTCTTACTGAGGTTGGTTATTGTGTTTTGAAGTAACAGTAACCAACCTCCCGTGGCCCTTTGTTTTGCAAGTTTTTTAAAATCTGAATTGAGTTCCCTTAAGTTCGCAAAAGAAACTACGAGTTGATGAACAAGTTGGGGATGCTCTTTTACCAACTTTGGCATTGAGTTTGAAAAAATTGCATTTGTAAATGCTTTATTTTATTCTTAACGCACCAATGACCCTTATGTACATCCGTATTAATGTTAACTCTATTGTCTAAAGTATCATTTATATCGCTATCAGTAAATCGATTGCCCTCATAACCCATTTTTTTGTTGTTGCTATTGAACTTCGACTTTTTTTTTTGCCAATAGCAAATGTTGCTTTGGTACTTTGTGGTGCACCTGCGTCTATTTGAAAGCGATAGTCTTTTTCATGGACTTTTGTAGAGGTTATATCATCATTAGCATTATGTGGGCTATGCTTTTTCTTTTGAATAGTTATACATGTGTCGTTGTACTTGAGTGGAGAAACACAAATTTCTAATGAATCGATATAGTAACAAATAAATTATTCTCGCTCGGATTACCATTGCAAACTGTACCATATTTAGTATTAAATTTCTTAATTCAATTAATTCAAAGAT